ATCCAGTCACATATTATCAATATAATATGCACCTACGTACAGATTAAGATATCACAATACCTATAGTCTATGAGACGCAACTATCTCATCTCGTACGTACTAGTCTTGATACGTTATGACGTCCGTATTATCATAAAGTGCGACTAGGGATATTCTAGACATAGCCTTCGTCAAGAAGTAACAGTCTCATAATCAGAACATCGTAGTCCTCATCTATGTTACTGAAGCGCTATCGTCTATGGACTGAAGCTATGTTATGTTACACGAGATATAAAACATACTTCAAGGCCTTTCATTCATGATAAAGTGTACAGTTACATAGGTATTTGATTGCCGCTAGGGCACCTAAATACAACAATCTCCCACTTGCCCTAAGGCCAATCAAGCATTTCTCGAATGCCCATGGACCACGTATGACTCTCGTGTTTAGGCTTTCCCAAAGCCTTCGTCAACGGATCCGCGATATTGTCGTCTGTACCTATCTTGCAAATCTCAACGTCCCCACGTGCAACGATTTCTCGTATGATGTGATAACGTCTAACGATGTGTTTGGTCTTCTGGTGAGACCGAGGTTCTTTCGCTTGTGCAATTGCCCCATTGTTGTCGCAAAACAACGGTATAGGGTTCTTGATGCTAGGAACCACTCCAAGCTCAGTAATAAAATTCTTGAGCCACACACCTTCCTTGGCTGCCTCGGCTGCAGCCATGTACTCTGCTTCTGTAGTGGAATCAGCGGTAGTATCTTGCTTGTAACTCTTCCAGATAACAGCTCCGCCATTCAAACAAAACACATACCCTGCCTGCGACTTGAAGTCATCTCTATCAGTTTGGAAGCTGGCATCAGTATATCCAACAATACTGAGCTCTTCTTTTCCACCATATACCAGGAAAGCATCCTTAGTCCTACGGAAGTATTTAAGGATGTTCTTCACAGCCGTCCAATGGCTTTCGCCAGGGTTGGACTGGTATCTACTCGTGACACTCAGAGCAAAGGCGACATCAAGTCTCGTACATACCATCCCATACATGATGGATCCAATGGCCGACGCATAAGGAACATTTCTCATGCGTTCTACTTCCTCCGGAGTGGAAGCACCCTGAGTCTTGGAAAGACTCGTGCCTTGGGCCATAGGCAAACTTCCTCGTTTCGACTCAAACATGCTGAATCTAGCAAGGACCTTGTCTATGTATGTACTTTGACTGAGACCTAACAGCTTCCGTGATCTATCTCTTTAGATCCTTATGCCAAGTGCATTACTGGCATCTCCCAAGTCCTTCATAGAGAAACTCTTACTCAACCACGTTTTGACGGTGGTTAAAGTAGGAATATCGTTTCCTATGAGCAGTATGTCATCAACATATAGAGCAAGGAAGACTACAACACTCCCACTGACCTTCTTGTATACACAAGATTCATCCGAATTTCTTTCAAAACCAAAGCCGATGATAGTTTCGTGAAAGCGATGTTCCAACTCCGTAAGGCTTGCTTCAATCCGTAGATTGATCGCTGCAACTTGCATACCTTGGTAGATTCTTAAGGAGCGCAAAACCCTTCAGGTTGTGTCATAAAGACATCCTCAAGGAGGTTTCCATTAAGGAAAGCCGTTTTGACGTCCATGTGCCAGATTTCGTAATCACGGTATGCTGCGATAGCAAGTAAGATCCGAATGGATTTAATCATGACAACTGGAGAAAAAGTTTCGTCATAGTCGATACCATGTATTTGACGATATCCTTTTGCTACCAATCGTGCCTTGAAGGTTTGCACCTTACCATCCATGTCAGTCTTCTTTTTGAAGACCCATTTGCACCCAATGGGTTTGATCCCTTCGGGTGCATCAACCAAAGTCCATACTTGGTTGGTGTACATGGAATCCATTTCGGACTGCATGGCTTGACGCCATTCCTCAGCCTCGGGACAACTGATTGCCTCGAGGTAGGTCTCCGGCTCATCCTGGTCGATAAGCATTACGTCACCCTCAAAGGTTAGGAGGAATCCATACCTTTCAGGTTGTGTGCGTAACCGGTTAGACCTACGGGGTTCTTGTGTATCTTGAGCATTTTGAGGTACAACAGTTTGTTCCTCTAGCTCATGTTCCAGAACCGGCGCGGTAGTTTCTTC